ATGTTGTCTCAACTGTTTTTATCTAGATCCAATTGGTTTATCACCGGAAAAGTAGGTTTTTTTCTTTTAATAATCTGGGTTTAATCTTTTTTTTTTCGTTTTTTTATTAATTAAAACTTCTTGCTTGCATGTTATTATCTATTAGATTAGATGGAAGTGCCGAGTGGAGGAGAAGGAGGGGGAGGGAATGATGTAGAGCTCATGTGTAAGACTTAATAAGTGGAACATGCATTTTTCTATTTGGATTAAAAGAGAACCTTCGGGGTTGTTACTTGATAATACCGGACAACACTTTGGCCATCAATTCCACCATCATCATCTATTTCTCCGAGACTTCTTGCTTCTTGGATCTCTTTAATTACTATTTTAACCATTTTGTTGATGATTAAGACCTCTTCGACAAGAAATTACAGCTCCACACCAAGACATTGTTTTTTTTTTCTTTTAAATTCTCACCCCCTCATTTTCTAACTAAATAAGTTAATTAGTACCAATTACTTGTAGGTTTTTCACTTTGATATTAGCAAGAGCATAAGGAGTCGCATCTTAAAGATACACTCGTTGTTATTCTAAAATTTAAATATGTGCTTCCAACATAATATAATATAAGAGGTTTTGAGAGTACTGTCTATTATTGATTTTCAAGAGTGATTTTTAGAAACAACATGTAGGGTGGCTAATTAGCCATATATTAAAGGCTTGCTCTCCTTGCCCTTTAATCATTTGATGTGAGTTTTTTAGATTCCTCTCAACTTCTATTTTTTATTTTTATTTTTTTGCATTTTGAGATTATTTTGTCAATTTTTTTTTAACAATTAGATGAATAATATACTCGATTGATATGATTTGATTATTTTATTATTTTTTTGAATTTTTTGATTATGCTAGATGTTTAATATGTAATGGTGTTTAAACAGATTTATCGAAAGAAAGAAAAAAACTCTTTAAAGGAAATGAAGAAGGAAGGATGAAAAAGATGGAAGGAAAAAGGTAAGCGGGATGGCAAATAATGTTATTTTCGTTATTGGTTAGTGTTTTTGCTTTCTTGTTATAGATGTGTGGATATTATTTTTTTTTCTTTCGGATTTTGTTATTATCCTTCCCCGCATCACTTAAAACTCGCTTTTGTTTTATGTCTCCGTTATGCCATCTCAAGTATTTTTTCTTAGATCCGGTTGGTTTATGGCCATATAAGTGTTTTTTTCTTCTAATAATTTTTTGTTTGACCTCTTTTGACATTTTTTTTAATTTGTTTTTTCTATTCTTTTTCTCAAAACGTAGAATTTTGATTGCTTTATTTACTTAATTCCATAATGCTTTTCTTTTTGGTTAGGTTTATTTTTCCCTTTACTTTTCTTTATTTATTTATTTATAGTGGATTATGTTTTGTTTTGATTTAGTTTTTTCAATTGATATGTTTTCTTGTTTACTATTGGTGGTGAGAAAAACTATTTTAGATCATATCTTTCTCCTTCTTTTGTTAGATTAGCCTTTCATTCTTATTGTTTTTGTTGAGAGGCTTGATACACTTATTAACCAATGTATTTTTGTCTTAGGTGGTGAGACTTTTAGGATCTATCACTTTTGAGTGGCAATGATAGCTCTCAATAGATTTTTTGATGATTTTTCTTTTCTATTTGATTGATGTTATTATCTTATTTTGCTAATTTCTTTTTGATTTTTTTTTGTTACTTGGTTAGATTTTGAATTTGTAATAATGGTTAACATGTTGATTGAAAAAAAAAAGGAAAGTATTTAAAGAGAGTGAGGAAGAGGTGAAGAAAAAAGATATGGCAAAAAATATGAGTTATGTGTGTCTGGTTGGTGTTTTTGCTTTCTTTTGATAAATTTATGGATATTATGTTACTTTCAATTTTGTTTTTGTCAAATTTAAATTAGATAGAAATTAATACTACTTTCATGTACTTCCTATCATGAACTTACGTGCATATATCCTTTGATTTGGTTCGATTATTTATTCATTTATATACTTAGTGATAGTTCAATAGAAATACTTCGATCTTCATTCAATGTCTTCATAATGACCACGATAAGAGTTTCACATGCAAGTAAGGATGATTGAGATTAGGATAATGGTAGGAGGTTTGTCCAAGCTATATTGTTTGTTGAAGATGACTATTAATGGGTTAAGTTGTTGAGGAGTGTTGTTAAAATAATTTATCATGATATATGACCGTTTAATACTCATAAAAAACCTTATTTTCGTAGAATTAAATCAACAAGTTACCTTCATTCTACTTGGTTATATTAGTTTTAAGAGGAAAAAAAAGTACAAAAATATTTGCTATTGGTATTGTTTGATAAATATTAGAGTTTTTATAAGGCAATATTTTTCATTTTATTGATCGGTGATGTTCAACGAGGTTGTCAAAATTATAAAATTTGATTCAAGGCTAAGTCTTTTTCCATCATGGTTATTGTCCTAATTGTTATAGATTCTTAAATGGCTTTTATGTGATTATGGCGACATAGACTTGATTGTCTTAAACTTTCTACGAAGATGAAAAATCAACTGGTTTGCATGGTTGTTTCTAGGTTTGTTCTTTAACATGTTTTTTCTATGATTACTTAGTTCAAGACTATAGGTCTCTTTTCTCTTCATACTTTAATTTACTACTTTAATAGACATTAGTGTTTATTCTTCTTGCACAAGTGGGCTAGGGATTTGGTTCTATTTTAAACTCGACTTTTGATTAGACTCATTTATAACAAATTAATAATGGTGCTAGAACTTAAGATTCTTATGCGCATTATAAATTTCAAGAATAATTGTAGCAATATAGCAACAATACTTAGAATCTTCATCATAAGTGGGCTAGGGATTTGGTTCTATTTTAAACCGACTTTTGATTAGACTCGTTTATAACAAATTAATAATGGTGCTAGAACTTAAGATTCTTATGCGCATTATAAATTTCAAGAATAATTGTAGCAATATAGCAACAATACTTAGAATCTTCATCATAAGTTCGTTTTTTAACATGTAGATTTGTTCTTTTTAATTAATTATGTGCTTTGTAGATATCAAAATCAATGTACGGACTTAACTACTGAATGTAAAATATTTGAAATAGAGGCTTTCAAACAATATTTTTTGCTCTCTATTAAAGTCAAGTCTTTTGCACTTAATTCTAATTAAATTATGGCGACATAGACTTGATTGTCTTAAACTTTTTACGAAGATGAAAAATCAACTCGGTTTGTCTCTACCTTGTTTCTTCTATGATTACTTTGTTCAATACTTGCAGATCTCTTTTCTCTCCATACTTTAATTTACTACTTTAATAGACATTAGTGTTTATTCTTCTTGCACAAGTGGGCTAGGGATTTGGTTCTATTTTAAACTGAATTTTGATTAGACTTATTTATAACAAATTAATAATGATGCTAGAACTTAAGATTCTTATGCACATTATAAATTTCAAGAATAATTGCGGCAATATAGCAACAATACTTAGAATCTTCATAATAAGTTGGTTTTTTAACATGTAGATTTGTTCTATTTAATTAATTACGTGCTTTATAGATATCAAAGTTAATGTATGGACTTAACTACCGAATGTAAAATATTTGAATATAGGCTTTAAAACAATATTTTCTCGCTCTCTATTAAAGTTAAGTCTTTTATGCGTGATTCTAATTAAATTATTTTATTTGTCCATATCAATTAAATATTTATCTTATTTTAATAATAACTACCATATTGATTTCTGTAAGTTTTTTTTAAATCATATTCATTATTATTAGTGTGATGTCCTATTTTTTTGTATTTTATTTTTTATTTTTGAGTGATCCAACTATTTTTGCCATGGCCAATTGCATTCTACTTGAGGAGAAAGATGTTTGGTTGCATGATGATTAGGAACTAAGTTCTTTTTTTATATTTTTGTTATACAACATGGATATAATTTTAAGCATTCATAATTATGACTTATGAATTTTTTGACCTGATGAAATAATGTTTGTCACTAAAGGAAGACTATTTGATTAATTTAGTTAGGTTTAAAAGCGATGTAATATTCGATGAATATGATACTTTTAACCTGCTTCTAAGTTAGAGTCGAGATTAATAGAATTAATTGTATTCGAAATTTTTTGATTTGTTATTGATTTAATTGAAATTATTATCTTGTACTAATAGAATTTGATGTTGAAGGAGGGAATCATCAGTTCTACACTTTTCACCGTTTTCCCCGGCAATTTTGAAGGAGGGAATAATCTTGCAGAAGCTCCAACAGACAACTGACTTGCGAATACATCAATCACATGTTGATCTTCTCTCTCATGAAAAGCCATGTTCTTAAATTAAAAATGTTTTGGTTCTTTCAATGTCAATGACAACCCTTCTTATATTATTTAAATAAAAAAAATTATTTACTCACACAACACAACGTTGTTCCTTGTAGCATAATAAGTTGCCACTAATAAATTTATTTATTGATCAATAATTCATTAACAATGCTTTCTTTAATAACATCATTCATTAACACTATCGCTCTACGCATTGAGTTACATTAAGCTCGCAGCGAACCGAGGGATCACAAACTGTTTATGATCTACATGACTACATTGATAGACAAAAAAAAAAGAAAAAAAAAAAGAACAAAACTAATAATCATAAAAGCCTGTTTTGCGTAGGTAAAAATTTTAACTTATAAAAGCCTCTTAATAAAAACCTAACAAACCACTCCATTTAACCAAAAAAAAAAAAAAACCTAAAAAATCTTTCATTTCCAATCCGTCCAGAAAACAAAACAAATCAAAACAACCTAAGCAGATTTGTAAGCAAAGAGATCATCCCCATCCCATCTCCCCCTCTCTTGTCTTGTCTTCTCCAACAATAATTCTCTAAACCTCACTTTCAACCGTCTCTTTCTCTCTCCAAATTCCAGCTCTCTTCCTCACCATAAAATCCTTGAACCATCCCATTTTCACTTTCTCTAATTCTTGATTAAGTTTGATTCGTATCTGGGAATGCGATGCGATTCTTTAAGAGGATAGCGGGGTTTCTTGGATTTGCTAAAGATGACGGGGGCCACGAGGTCAAAGACCAACGAGAACAAGAAGAAGACCAAGACGATCATCATCAACACCCCCACCAAGTCCGTTTTCGCTCCAATTTCCAAGAAACTGGCCTTCCCCGTAGAGGTTTTGGTGTTCCTGTCCAAGTCGCCGTCGAACGCCCCCAGCTTGGGCCCGTAATCGTCCCCTGCAACTCCGGCGACGGCGGCGTTCAGGTTTCTTCTTTTTTCCAGTCTCCACATTTTTGTTTGTTTTGTTTACTTTTACATTTAGTGATCGTTTGGAGTTTTGAAATGACAAGTGTTGGGTTATTTTGGCATTGTTGAATTGCTGTTAAACAATGTAGCTGTGGAAGATATATAGTTTGTGGTGTTTATGAAGGAGTGAGTTTTGGTATTTATTTGCGGTCTTCTAGTTGGATTGTTTCCCATCCAAATAGAGGTCAGTAGGACCTTTGTTTCTTTCCTTTGAAAAGAGGGAAGCATTGATGAGAATTTGGGGTTTTCTTTTCCTTGGTTAATGTGCTGAGAATAAATTAGGTGATTGAAGATGGAGTTTGGACGTTTTACCTTTGGAGTTATGTTGACGTTTTCATTGTGCAGCTTCAAATTTTTGTGTTTGACGATAAAGTTATTAACATACGATTGTTATTTCTGGCTTCATTTCATGAGGAGTTTTGCATTGTAAATGCAGTTATATATGAAAGCAATGTTCATTCTGTTGTAGTCTTATTTTCAAGTTAAACAGCCAATCTTGTAGCCTAATGAGTTGGTTCGCCTGCACCTCCATAGTTTAATGAGTTTTGTAGTATGTCATAAAATAACTCCCGCAAACTTTTTTCTTATCTGGGTTATATGTAATGTGGCCTGTTTTTTTCTAGCAGTTCTCAACCTTTTAACGATTTCTTGTGTCAAGATGTGCTGTCAAGTTGCCCATGTTTTACTGTGCCTGGCTCGTTGGACACTAACAAATTGTTTGTCTCAACTTTAAACCTGTAAATTACTATAGGTTTTAAGGAAGCAATTTTGAGTGATAATCTATTGCTTTGAATGTTACCATGTATGATGCGAACAAAAATTCAACGAGTCACTGTATCCATGCAATTGATGGAGTTGGAATTTGGTTGATATGGATACAAAACTAGTGGAATATATATAAATTGAAACGTATGCCAACACTCTGTTCTAAATAAGAGGCATCTGTTTGCGGTAAACAGAGAAAAAGTGTACTGCAATAGCATCGGTGTCACAATACAATGCTTGAGAGGGACAGAATATGCTTTCCATTTACTTGGGTTGGTTGATAAATGGAGAGATAGCAGTTCTATTACCTGTGGCCATTTTTGCAAACTTACAAAGGGGTAGCTGGAATTCAACTGAAATTCAGAAGAGTACTTTAGGCGTCTGCTTGGTATTGCAGATATGTGTTCTCTTGGAGGTGTTTGCACTGGATTTCGTTCTTAGGTAATCTTTTTAACTTGGACAGCAGCCAAAAATCATATTCTTTTAAGTTCACATTCTATGTATGAGAGAAGGATGAATATAATTCTATTATCTGCTGTACTGTCCGGTTGTTAGTTGCTTATGGTCTTTTAGTTCTTCCTTTATCCGAGGTACAATTGCTACATCCATTGGGTACCAGAGATAATGGCATGTTTGAGATGTATTGATTGCTGCTAGAAGCACCGATGCTTGCGAGAGATTGTAACTATCTTGGATGCATGTTATATTAGGTGATTTTGAGGTAGCATCCATAGCAGTTTTGATTAACCTTCAGTAAGGAGAGGAAATGCCAACTGGCAGAGATAATGGCATGTTTGAGATGTGTTGGTTGCTGCTAGAAGCATCGATGCTTGAGAGAGATTGTAACTACCTTGGAAGCACGTCATATTAGGTGATTTTGAGGTAACATCCTTAGCAGCTCAAATAACCTTTGGCAAGCAGAGGAAGTGCCAACTGGCGCTATAGACCAAGGAGGTATGTGGGAACGTACTTCATCTTTCATCATCTTGACATTGGATAAGAGTTGTACTCTGCTGGTTTGTTTTAGGTAATTACTGGAGGTAGAGACAATAAAATCTGCAGGAGTAGGTAGGTTGGAGAAGCCTGGAATAGGAGGTCCCGTCTGTACATAGGGAAGGATAGAAATAGTAGAACTTTCAAAAGTGCTGAGAAACCTAGGTAGTTAAGTTCAGCTTTTTATGTTTGTGACCTCATAAAAATCAACATTTTCTCCCCATACAACTTTGCTGTTTTTCGAACCCAATAATTCTTACACCCTGATCTTTCTCTTCATTTTGCATTTTGTCTTGCCGAGGAGGACTGTTGAATCACCAGATTGTAGAAGTCTTTCCTTGGATATGGATAAATATTTTGTTAATGAGAAGTTAAATACACGAAATGTAAGTATGGATGCTTCACAGGTGTGATCTACTGGATCACAGAATTAGACTAGTTATTTGTGGATGACTTTCCTTTTAATCGAAAGGCTCTTTGAAATCTTCAGCAGCAATGGGATAACCGAGCAAAGTTAGTCAGTCAATTTGTCGTACTTAATTTTATTTTATGTATTTTGTCTTGTAGTTTCAAGCTCCAAATGTCATGCAGACAATATGCAGTTGATCAGTGTCATAGTTCACATCTTCATTGCTAAGTACGTTGATATCTTTTCTGTATTTAGGGTCTGAGATGGTACGCAAAACGCCTCAGGATAGATGAAGATGGAGACGTGGCAGATGAGTTCTTTGACGAGGTTTTACCAGATACATCTTCCAGTGTCGATGAACAGACGAAGCCTTTGCCGAGGTTTGAAGTGAAGTACAGTACCCGGCCAGCTAAAATCAAGAAGCAGATGATGTCCCATGATGGGAAAATTCAGCTGTGTGTGGAACATCATGGTAGATTGCAGTGGGTTTAATGGATCTTCACTTCAAAGTCCATGGTTCATGGGTAATCGGGTTTCATTTGTCAGGTCTATAAGGCAAGTATGCTGCTGGGTTATTCTTTTAGAATAGATTTACGATTCGTTGTTGTGGCGTGAATTGTGAAACCCCTACATCCGCTTGTACTAATGCTTATGTTACAAGGCTTTGTCCAATCGGTTTGTGATAAGATTTTGATTTAGACCATCTAATCAGATACATCTTACAGAAGCTCTGGAAAACTGAGACTGTAGGAGTTGAATGCGTGCACGATTGATCCAATCTGTATACACATCTAGTTGAATAGACTGAACTAAGTTGTTCCATGTGTTTTACTCCATTACTCTTTATGTATACTCTTTTATGTATATTTTCTTACTCTTCTCTCCGAAAAGGCTGCTTTCATATCTGGCCTGCTTGTACAGTTTCTTTGTTTGCTCACATTCTCTTATTCCCGGATTTGCTATTTCGTTTGTTTGAACACAAGGTGAAATACAGGAATGATTCAATGATTTGCACGCCGTGAAATTGTTCTCATTTTGTCCATCAACTATTTGCGTATGTACTTGTTGTTGGAAAAGGTTCTGTGGGCAGAAAACCAAATGAACATTTTCCTACGGAAATTAGACCAGCTTTACCCTCTAAAGATCTGCTGCATATTTGTAAGTCCGATGATGTTTGTTCTTCCAAATATAAATGCCGTTTGAAAGATGACTACCAGCATGGTAAAGATGATGCTCGATCGAACCAAGAATTTTCCATTCATAACAGTGTTTCCAACAGACGACTGACAAACTCAAGATAGACAAGTCTACGCTTATGCATACACACATCGACTCCTACCTTCCCCCGCACTGCATGATTAATTGTCTAGACATACTTATGCCCAGGGGGTGTCCTACTAAGGGATGTGCAGGAGCTGTCGTTCCAGGCATTACAGTCCCAACTGGCTGGTTTGCATGGGTTCCAACCAATGGCTGAGTGCCCACCACAGACGGTTGGTGGTGCTTGGAACTCAATTTCTCAGCTGCATGCTTGGCTTTGGCCTGATGCAACTCCAACTTTGCCTGTGCTTCCTTTGCTTTTCTACGCTCCCTGGCCAACTCTTTCTCTTCTGCTGTCCTCGCAGTTGCTAACTCTGCCTGCAAGTTGTCAACAAGTATTATTTACAAAATTAAGGTATACAGATGAAACACATATAGAGGCATATAGAAGCTTTCCTTTTCTCTCTCTTATTTGAGTTGTTCAAGAAATATAACCTGTTCTTCAACTTTGGCTTTGCAAATTGTCATGCGCTCCTTAGCAACACTAGCAAAATTGCTAATTTTCTTCTTAGCAGCTTGCATCTTTCTTTATTTGTTGTTTTTTTCCCCTCCACAACAGAAACAAGTAACAGTTTTTGATTTATGTTTTGCTGAAACAGACAGTCCTTTCTGCTCATAATATTGCCAGGCCAAAAGATGAGGACGCCACGATGGCTGCCACGTGCCATTCATGCAGATACATGCCTTTAATCAAGTGCCAGGTTGCACAAGTGCAAGCTCTAGGCATACGAGTTTTTTGGGCCTAAAAGGCTGGGACAAAATGGATCATAAGTTTAGGTCCTGCCCCAGAAGAAAAATGGCAGCAATCCTGACATTTTTTTCTTACGGTATGCGTCATAGAATCAGATCAAACAGTAAAGCGTAAACATGAATAGTTCCATAAGTCCACGCTATGGCTGTAAAAGGCACAATAAATTTGATTCGAGAAATATATATATAGTGGTGAGTGACAGGACTCATTGTTAAAAACTCTTTTAAGTTAAATCATTTTTTTATTATCAACTAAAGCAACCCGTTGGAGATGTGAGAAAAGAAAATTTAACTCCATAAAACAAATTATTATTATTGTTGTTGTTGTTTTTGTTGACATGGAATAGAATCCTGCTGCTGCAGCTCTTAAGCAGTCAGTTATTACCCTACATTTCAAAAAAAAAAACAGATGTCTGACAACTGTAAGGAAACAAGCAAGGTAACACCCAACGATTCGCTACAAACGTAAGTACCAAATCGCCACCCCCTGCAATATCCTCTCTTAACACAACCGCCAATATCCTTTCTTAACAAAAGAATCCATGGACCTTATCACTTCATGCCGCTACTGCATCTCACTCTGCCGGAAATCGGCATTTTACCGCCAAATTTCATTTCCAAATTCCACTACTCAACACTCCAGTTCTCTTAAATGCCGCGTTAAAACGACATCGGAGCTTCAAACTTCAGTAGGAGTGAACGATCGTACCGGTAACAACTACTCCTCGTCGATTCCAACTCATAAAGTCACTGTTCATGACCGGCAACGAGGAGTCGTTCACGAGTTCCTTGTTCCAGAGGTATGGAATCTAGACTCTGTTTGTTTCCTGGGAAAATGCAGGAAAACTACTGTTTACTACTTCTATAACTTGTAATTAGAATCGTGAATTGAATTGAGTAGTTAATATAATCAGAATATTAATTGATAGTAACCGTTTGTTTGTGTGATTTTTGTTTTTAATCTTTTGGTTGGTAATGCAGGACCAGTATATATTGCACACAGCAGAATCACAGAACATCACACTTCCATTTGCTTGCAGGCACGGTAATATTGTTCTCTAATTCCCACTGTATTAAATCAAATTGCTCGTCTTGTTGATGTTGTTGTCACTGCTGCATTTTTCGGTTTGTTTGTTTATAACAAAGTAGATTTTGGAGAACTGAGTTACCAATTCACTAGAAGCAGACGGCTACGATAGAATAATATGCCAACTAAAACTGTGGCTGTTATCAGGAAATGCTTAACGCAACGATTGATGTTGCTGCGTGCTGGTTAAAGTTTGTTATTGTGAGATGTTTTTTTATGAGCTGCCAGTATCTTGGATCTTCCGCCTGCCAAATTAGCTTATCCTATAGCAGCGAGACCAATTAAGTCAATTCAGGACTGTTAGAATTTGGCATACATGCGTGTCATGAGGTTCAATCTGGAGGATTCATTAAGTTTTACATTTTAGTGGTGCAAGTTTGTGACTGAATGATGTAAAGACTCATGGTCAAATAAGAAAGGAAAGAAGTGCATTCACACCTTTTATCCAGTAACCATCTGCTTCAATGAATAATTGCTCTTTCCTCTCTGTTTGTTTATTAATTAATTCTTCCACCGCCAGAGTAGCTTTGTTTTAACATATTAAACAACTTACATCTCACTGCAGTTATGGCAGTTTTAGCATGAATTAAACCTAGAATTTAACGTTATACAAAAGGAAGTACTAGTTTTATTAAATCTCTTGCATTTGTGTGTTTTTACTCAGGAAATTAATATAAAAAATTACACAACATTTTCCGGTAGGCCATTTGGTGATAATTTTTGTATGATTTTTTTCTGGAAACAGGGTTACCTTAGTATTTACTCTGCTGCCTATGGCCTTGCTATTTTTTCTGGTTAAAATTGTTCTAGATGAAATGCTATGTACTTGCAGGTTGTTGCACTAGCTGTGCTGTACGTGTAAAATCAGGACAACTTAGACAGCCAGAAGCTCTAGGGATCTCTACTGAGTTGAAGTCGAAGGTCCGTGCCCTTTATTGTAGATTTTTTTATTGCAGAAACAAAAAGATTCTAAATATTACCTTTAATTTACCTTGATGGACATTGAGCTCTAGGGTCATTGTAGAAGGGCAGGGTTCTGAAGGTTCTCTTTATACCAACATGGCACAGTTGTGTAGAAGCAACAGCCTAAAATCCTGTTTAGTGGATGAGAGAGTTCAGGAAAAAAAAAAAAAAAAAGACAATGAAATTCTGAATTGCATATCCCATGCCTCTCATTAAAGCACAATTTGATGTCCTGGAATAAATATAGAACATAAAATGGGAATTAAAGGTCTAGTTTCTTTTTTCTTTCATCTATATTTTCAGAAGAGGTAGATGAAGCGTTTAGATTTCATTTTGTATTTAACAATATTTAGATATGCACAGCATGATGTGAATTTCTGTATTTAGTAGTATGCATTTTATGATTTGGGGCCTTACTCTGTTATGGCATTGCAGGTTACCCTATAAGACAAATCATTTTGGTTGATCTCATCTTTTAATGAACTTTTGTCATATTGTTCTCTCTTAGATACCAGAGATGTGAGCATAATTGAAATGAAAAGAATTTTGCATTGCAACCATGGTGATCCTCCATTGCAGAAACAGTGAAATCAAATTTAGTCAATAAGAAAGATTTCTAAATTAATTGTATTTAAGCCCCTTTGAAACAATCCTTCATGCATTTTGTGTGAGAAATGGGAGTTCAAATTGGATGGGTGCATCTAACATTTAGTTTTTCTTATGCTTAACAAAGTAAATTTTAAATAACATGAAAAAGAAAATTCATTGATGAAAGTAGTTTCTTCTTGCTGGGAAACATTTTCTTTCTAGTTCTACTTTCTCTTAGACAATTTCCAAATCAGATAATTTAGCTGGCTATGTGTAAAAATTTGCAATTTTGTGTTTGTAACTGTCTGAATCACAAGCATCTTGACTTGTAATCTGCAGGGATACGCACTTCTTTGTGTGGGCTTCCCATCTTCTGATCTTGAAGTAGAAACTCAAGATGAGGATGAGGTGAATTGCAGACTCAACTTTTCTCTTTTGGCACGTTATTTGTGTTTATATGATCCTCTCACAAGAAATAGAAAAAAATGAGATTGCAGTGTCCTAGAATTATTTAGGTGTTGAAATCTTTGTTTGCTTGTAGTTCTGAAAACTGGCTTGTGCAGGTGTATTGGCTTCAGTTTGGAAGATATTTTGCCCGAGGACCAATTGTAAGTTCTGAGCTCTTGAAACATGCTGTGATTGAGGAATTATGGTAAACATTGCACATATTTCCCCTGGGTTTGTTGCATTTGTTTCCTGTCAGAACGGTCTACTAGCAATATATAAAATCATATGAAGACATTATAAGTAAAATATAAGAAATTAGCACATCTCCACCACCTTAATTTTGGTCAGTATGTACAAATTAGTGAGCTTAATCCAGCTAGAAACATAGATAAGAAAAAACAAAGGAAGGAAAAAGGTATGTACATTTGCACATAGTCCAGCTAAATATAGCAAGAGCCATATATAATCTAGCTAGATTTTTTACATTACAAATATGTAAGATTTGAAAACCCCACTTGAAAGTAGTTGCAGAATAACATTAATTTGGGGGCTTGCAAAGACCTAGGATCCTGCACAGGGAGGAAAGTGCACGGATTAGGGCCAGAAGGCACCACTGGATGATAACCATATGGAAAATAGTCCTTGTATGATGGTGGTTTCATGTGGTTCAAAGGCCTTGCAACTACCAGATCAGTAATTCCAGTGGTAAAGACCAGGAACAAAAGGATCATAGATTTTGCTCCAAGAAGTAGAGTTTTCATATTGCACACTTTTATGATTTTTGGAGAAACAATAGATGGTGATTGATTTTTGTTAAAACTTGGTAACTCACAAAGACTAGGTAATTAGGGAATTATGGTAATGTGGGATTGGTTGACCGATATAGTTGATGCTTATATACAGAGACTTATAATTAAGCAGGGGAATGCGCACTTTCTTGGAAGATTGTATGAAATACATGTTCCTAGTAGCCTTATATCTAAAGCGCGTTGGTTAAGAAAGAAACCATATTAGCGTTTCCTCCATTACAGATTACAACAGGTAAGTTAGTTTTTAGAGGAATATACGTGGAAGGAGATTGAAGCACTTATATATACCTGCAAAAGAAAGCCCCAACAATGCCTTAAGTGGATTTTAATGATCAATTCCTTGTAACTTCTATTCTTCCTTTTATTTTTGTTCCTTGTGACGTTCAAATTAAAAATATAATGCCAGAAATACTAAAAAATTACTAAGACCTAAGTTTAAAGTAAATAATCCTATATAAAAGCAAGGGTAATTTTAAAATAAGGGAAGGGAAAAAAAGTTACAGGTAAAAGACTAAAGTTGTGTTTCTTGAAAGGTTATCTTACTTCTAAATGCTTCAATGCCACAGGATAGAGACGACTATGCCTTGGAGCTGGCCATGGGTGATGAATAGGTAACGTAGTTAATGAAAGGTGAGAATCTATCTAGTCTAGCATGCGGATTGCTTTTTCTCTTCCTGTAATTTTCATTCTGCCTTCCTAGGCCTGTTGTAACCGTTGTATGCTACATATGGTTTATCAATTGATTGGATGTTTTTCATGGTATATGGTAACTTCATATGTGATTTATTGCATGAACGGAAGTTGTGATAATGCCCTTGACTTGTAGATGTGCATCAATTTCAATCTCCTGGTTTTTTAACATCAACAGAATAAAAAATCATATGTATCTCCTGGTTTTCTAACATCAACACAATAAAAAATCTTGATATATATGTCAGGGGCATTATGAGCTGTAGGCTTTTAGTGCTTGGGGTGCAACTGCTATATTTGTGATTATAGTTACGGAAAAGAGCATTCCCATTTGTAATAAATTCTGTCCCTGTCGACTGAATATAAACTAAGTTTAAGTCGCATCTCCATGATATCGTTATGATCAATTAATGGGATTTGGCCAGAAAGTGTTCTTGCCTCTGTCATTAGCTTGAGTAGTTCCCTTTTCTCGTGTTTTAGTCACATTCCATTGGCTCCCTTAATTAGTAGTCGCCCATGAACTACTTCCTAACTCCAGGGATCTTTTTTCGATCCGCTGAATAGGAATCTCTTCGATAGATAATCTTAATCTTTCGATGAAAAGACGGCCACTGCGGGTAAGGAAAAGTTTCCTTGTATGTGGCTTGTCTGTCCTTTCCTAAGCTCTACATGTGACTCGGCATGGGAGGCAGGGGCAGAACTTCACGCTTTCGTGTTCTAGTACTGGGAAGACAGAAAAAGTTTACTTACCTCCTCTTAGGCCTCTGTTCTAGTTATCCACCGACCTGTACTATGTAATCTTGGTGGAGCAACCTCTTTGACCAGGACCAGTTCTTTCTATGGCAGTATGGAAAAACCGATGGAATGGGGCTTCAGACCCACCCCACCATCTTTCGAGTCCTTTGCTTTTATGGTTTTCATGGTTTGACCAACCATGCCCTATCGTATAAATCTTTAGGTGTTGTTCAGTAATCAAGAATGAAGTGATGGGAATGATAATGTGAGTTTTATTTCCATTTTGTATCTATTGGTTAAAAGAAATAAATTAGAAATGAGAATGAAGATTGAGAATGATAATGAAAATTATACACAATTTCATTCTCATTTAAAACGTGGAAATAAAAATAAGGAATGTGAATAATTTTTTTCTTCAAAATAATAATATATTTTATTTATTTATTGTATATTAACTATCACCACTCGTCATCATCTACACCACCACCACCACTACTATAACCATAACTACCACCACAAGTATCACCATCACCATCATCACCTTTATTATTTTTATAATCATTATAGTTTGATAAAATTATTTTTTTAATTATTATTTTTATTTGTATAAAAAACTAGATATTAAAAAATTTAAATTGCATTTCGATTCCTTATTAGTATTTTAAACACGGTATGAGAATACAAATGTTTCTTATGAAGGTACCTTAGGTGCTTAATCATACACTTTGGAGTAGCTTGCATCTCGGGTGGATGACTTGCAACTTGCTTGGAATAGTTATTTTGACTATTGGAATCAATAAGTCCAACAAGTGGATGAGCATATCGGTTTTCGGATGGTCAATAATAAGCTCAATAGTATGTTTAATGCTTTCACGAGTGCATTTCCCACCATCTCTACCTCTTTTTTTTTTTTTTTATTGATGTATATTACATTTGATCTTTTACCCTATCTCTTTTAATTTTATATGACTATGATCATTTCTATGCTATACATTAAGAATAATGTAAGATGTAAGTGTGGGGGAAGGGATTTAGGATTTAGGTTAGGTTTGTTTTAATATGTTTTTGAAACTTTCAAGCAATGAAAAATTCTAGTAGAGAATCAAATAAAAAAGAAGGTTAACTGTCTTTGAAAGATAATGGCTTGGAATTCGTAGTGGAAATTTTAATGAGTTTTGTACAAACTCTAAGATTTTCCGGTATCGCATAGTTAGACAAACTCCTCAGCAAAATGGAATGACAGAGCACACAAATAGGACTTTGATGGAGAGAGCTAAATATATGTTCTCTAATTCGGGTTTGAAAAACGATTTCTAGGCTAAAGCAATTAACATGACTTGTTATCTTGTCAATTGTTCTCCTTTTACCGCCATTAAGGTATGGTAAGGTAAATCTAGTGATTATTCAAATTTAAAAGTATTTGGATGCTCTGTTCAACCTCTAGTTACTATCATAAGCAAGTTTAGACAAGAAATTACACGGACTTGAATACTTAGTTAGCAATAAGTTAATATAATCAAACAATTAGCATGCATTCTAATCAATCCAATCATGCAAAAAAATATAAAATACACAATCAAGATAAGTTTAGCAATAAAACTCATAATTTCATAGCGATTTAACTAAAAACTTTAATTTGATTGAACCGGAATAGAATTTAGTTGCTCGTGATGGGTTATAAAGAGAGAGTTTCTATGAATGGTTGCTCCCAAAAGATAGGAATCTCAAAATAATGCCCTACCTTTACTATTTATACTTAAAACTAGGGTTACATTACATAGTTGTCGACCTCTACATGGCTATACGGAGTTAATAAAATAAGTTACACGGTTTGCTACTTAAAGTCACATGGTTTGGAGCCTTGAAAAATAATTGCTACACGATTTGCTAACTAGCACACATGACCATATGCCTTTTTTCTTCATTTCGTGTGTCTAGCTTCTTCCCGTGTGGAATTTGCACTTCAAATAGTGTTGAATCTCTTTTGCTCATGTAGACATGTTCGCTTATGAGACACGAGCGTGTAACTTTGCACTCGTAAATCGTATGCAATGTCTATTGCCCGTGTGGTCTTCTTTTTCTTGGGCTTTGGTAGACCGAGACATCCATACAGCCGTGTCAAATTTCATCCTCTCGACGACTTAGAATGCTACTACCCGTGTGACTTGTATTGTTGAGTAACCCACACGGTTTCCTCCTTCATGTCATATGACCAATAACTTTTTTCTTTGTTATTTCACACGGTTGTGTGACTCTTCTAAGCCTTTTTGAAGTTTTCTCTCTTCCTTGCTTTGGTTTTGGATTTTTTTGTTCTAATTTGTCATTTTTTGAATAAAACTCAAAATCGTCATCTTATTCTTAAATAACATAATATAACACATTAAACATTAAAAAATTTAATGTAATTAGAGTATACAAATCATGCTAATTATACATTCATCACTTGTCACTCCATGACATCCACCTTACCGTTCGCAAGCTACAATGACATATCATTGTAGGCTTTTCATAATTCCATTCATGTATTTGTGGTGAAGGTGGACAAATCAAACGCAATCTATCTTCAATTTTGTTGGTGAGAGTAGAGGATTGATTCTATCATCAAATTTTATACATGTTGACAATAAAGATGATGAACTCATCTAATTTAGAGTTTTCACAAGTTGTGAATTTTTGAGTATAGAAATGACGAGAAGAAGATGAATGTTAGCTGCAATAGGTTGAAATTCGTTTTTGAATGAGATTCTCATAAATAGGGTTAATCGAAGAAGATGAAGAGAGGGTTAAGAGAGAATGAGTTTCTTTTTTAGGTTTCAAATCTCTTTGACTGTGATAGGAGAAGGAAAATTAACATTTGGTTTTATGCTTCGGTTTTTTTTTCTCTCCGAATATAGTTTTTGAAATTTTGGATGTTTTTTTTTATACAACATAGAATATTGGTTATGATGTGTCATGTCACGTATCATTTTTTTTTAATCATATATAATCACCAAACAAAAAATTGACCAGAATTTAATAAGAAAGTCCACATTAAAAAAAAAAAAAACTTAAGAATTAAGGGAGAGATTGAATAAAAAAAAACACGTCTAATGCGACAAAACCTATTAAACAACATTCGGTGGACCACTAAAATTAGCTTTTTGGTTAAATAGCTTCGTAGGTTGGCTAGTCCTTCTTGATTCATCTTTTTCATATGATCTTGAGAGATAGGATTCACATGCGGCAAATCCCTGGGTGCTTTTGCTGTATTTTGATTCTTAGGTCGGAACCATGTTTAGACTGGTTTATCTTCGGACTAAAAGATGACAATTGAATGACCGTACGTATTTAAAGTTTAATCAAGGTTATTTGTGGGGCTAAGACAGCGCAAGCTGATATTTGTGCCAATTACGCGGATGTAAAATCAAAACATGGTGCCAATGCACCAGTTGAAGGTCCGAGGGCACAACCTGAGGCTCTCCAATACATTCAGGCCTTTCTTAAATTACATGCACCTCTCAAGTTGCACAGTCGCAATGCAATACATAATTCATGGAAACCACCTTTGTTAATCTCAGAAGTTTAAAATGGGTCACTGAATTAAGTGCTTACAAATTCTCAAAAATAAATAGATAAATGAAAATGAAATGCATGCACTTGCGGAGAACCTTATCACCGAACTGAGCTGCGAGCTCTTTATTCAAGGCCCCAATGACGACCCTTGATTGCTGATGGGCTGATACGCAGACTCGTGTAGACATGACATTAGAGCTAACAAAAGTAAATTTTGGTCTAGCTACAATCATCCTCCGACAACATCGGGGTCCATCGACAGCTGTCTTGATGCTAAGTTCTGGCAGACACAATAATTATTACATGAGAGCATTATTTAGTTTAAATCGAAAAATTAAATTGAATTGAACAAAAATATTAATTTCAATTTTTTTAATTTAAAATTAAGAAATTAAAATGATTTTTTTTTTCAATTTGGTTCAGTTTTTGAAATTTTTGGTTCCATTTAAATCAAAAACCGTTTTTTTTTTTTTTGTGTTTTCATTTCTTTAAGTTTTAAAATAAACTAAAAAATCAACATTTTAACGTTATTGCTATTGAATATATATACCTATATATAATAGATTGATAGTATTTTTGCTCTATTTACATTATTTTAAACAAAAATTTTAAAATTACGGTTTAGATGGAAAATTGAAAATTAAGTTTTAAAATTAAAAAAATGAATAGTAATTTGATTTGATTTCAATTAATTAAAAATCAAATTGAAAAACGAAATAATCACCCCTGCTAATCCTTGCCCGTTATAGTAGGGTTTTGTTTTAAATTTTATATAAAATAAACTAAAACCAGCACAAGAGAAGACACCTATTCCATGTTATTTTCTGATAAATGACCCCCTGAAAATGACGAGAATATCACAAGTTTAATTTATATAGTCTCAACTCTCAAGCCAAGAATTGGGTCTATTAGTTATAAATGAATTGGAGGGGCAGAAATAGTTTTCGCAGGAGAAAATATCCCATCGTGAGCAAGGGAGAAAACGAGGAAAAAAAGTTAAAATGTCATCACCCTAGATATGACTGTTCAGGAAAAGAATAATAGGAATAGTCTTGAAAGGCACAACAGACGTTGAGTTGTCCTGCTTATCCAAAGCACCAGGTAATGCTATTTCTAGATTTATTCCAATGCTAAGTTGGTCGATAGAATTGGCCAAATTGTGAAAATGAAATTTTAAAGAATCTTTCAAAATCAGTTGTTGTTATTATCAATATATATATATATATATATATATATATATATATGTATATATGTGAGAATTGAATTTAGGATGTTTATCAAGACTCCCAAAATTTAACATACATATACTACTTCAAGCTTTATCGATGACTGATTATTAATAAAGATTTCGACAGGTGCTCTTTAATTTTGTCCTATTTAATTAGGCATCGTTGGTGCAAGACCTCAATGTAATATTCAAATCCAAGTTTTCAATAGTATGAATAAATTACTTTGACCATCCCATAATATAGTGTTTCGACCACTTGCATAATCTTATTTATGATGAATTGATTTTTTTTTATTTTTACTTTGACCACCTTAACACTTGCGTAATCTTATTAATTCTTTTCAATGTTGCTTGTTGATCACATTCACAAATGTTGGTTGCGGTTGGGGGCGCAAGCATGGCCTGACCACTGCACCTAACCTATCTCTTCTTATTGCAGTTTGGACAAAAGAACCGATATTTCTGCTTTACCTAACCTATCTCTTCTGATTTATGAGATAGGTCAGATGAGGAAGAGGTTCAAATGTTCGATGACATTTATTATCTTCTAAGCTGTGAAGACAATAACTGCCATTGAACATTTGAACCTGTATTGCAGAGCACTATTGTATATCCCAGCTGAAGGAAAATAAGAGCAAAGGGAGGAAAAAAAAAAAAAAAGAGAGAAAAGAAACAGAAAGAAGTTAGATGAGTTCAAGCAATGAGGAAAACTTTTCCGGTAGGGAATTAATTGAAGATATGACCATTTATTGCTTACTCATTATTGTTTGCTTGTTTTTCTTTTTCTTTTTTGATACTTTCGTTGTTTGAGGGACATACAAAGTCTTCCTTGAAGGAGAGGTGTGGTCACCAATTAAGTTCTAAATGGATCACAGACTTAATGTTCCTTAAAATATCTCTTCGGTCCCATATCTAATTTTTCAGCCATTTAACTTATCTGGTCTATATAACTTTCTAGACATTGAGACCACTTTTAGACAATTCCAAAGCAGAAAGTATCTGAAATGAATCTTTCCCGTGCATTTGATGCTACTTGCAGTTGCATATTGTCAAAGTAAAAGAAAATGAAGTTCATCTTATCCGAAAATTTCCAAATGCGCTCAAGAGTCGCAGCCTAAAAGTCTTTCCATAGATATTAATAATTCGTTTCACATACATTCATTCAATCTGCCAAAACTGCTTATTTATATTAAGTAGGTCACGCAAAAGGGAGAGAAAAAAATAACTCTATACATGTGATTGGAGGGAATTTCCTCTGCTTCACCAGGAGATGCTATAGTAGGAGGACATATTATGATATGAAATAAGATGTTTGTAGAATTTGTAATGACCAACTTAGTTCAGCTGTGTAACAATTCAGGTATTGAACTTCTGTTCAGTAACGCTTGTTGAGACCTGCATCATCCAATAAAACAGTACTGTAAGTAGGCAGGGAACACAAACAAAAATGCAAGATGTAAATGGCTATTGGTTATATGCTTTAGGGTTTTTTTCACCATTGCATTTCACTGCAAGGAAGTGAAGTGTGGCTTCTTCCAAAACAAAGGAAAAATTCAACAGAGACAGCTAGAAGTTTGCCTGTTCATCAGAAGAAAACAGGCCCCTGTTTACTAAAATAATGGTATTCAACTTCTGTTAAGCTCATTATATCTAGTGCATCTGATTATACCAAGAGATGTAATTTCGTGTTTCAACATCTGATCAGCCTGGGGTGCTTCAAGGTTTTTGTTGTCTTGAAGTCTTGAACGCCTATGAATGCCATCTATAACTTGGCCTTCAACTGTTATTTTAGGAATGGACTCTACCGATTTAAGGGACTTGTGGACTAACAAGAAATAAAAGAGGAAAGAAGTTATGTACTGACCCCAACTGGTGTCACAAAATTGCAAACAGCACATTTCACAGACCGGGCTCCGTATTGATACATCAACAGCATCCTGCAGTTCCCACAATTGACGTGTGCCACTTGATTTGCTGTCATATTACAGATTTGATGTTTATCTTCCAACTTAGTCATAACCAAAAGTAATTCTGAAATGTCATTTGCAGGTAATACATCACATACTAGAGTGGTTGAAAAGCAATAGCTTCTTAAGTTCCTTACCCTCCAAGGCTAGATTGACTGTATGACAACAAGAACATTGAACGCTTGTTGCTCCACGGATGTACATGAGTAAGGTGTGGCAACCTCCACAAACCAACTGGGCCATTTCTGTGCCTATTCATATATATTGTTGAACAGAAAAAGTTACTTTGTTCAGATCTTTTTCTGGATGTCATAAACAGTTTATATGTGAAACTTGTAGCTTTTGCATTTTAGGAGTTTATTAAATGGTGAATGCATCTGTTGAACATGTTCATAACATAATAGTAAGGAACAAGGGCTGATAGGAGGGGAAAGCACTCTGAATTTTGGTTTAAATTCCATTATAAATGTCTCGACTATCTCTCATATATTAAAGAAGAGTTAATTACTTCCCTGTTTCCTTTTTTAAGTTAAAATTTATTCAATTACGAAATAAGAGAATTCTTTAGTCTAAACTGGATTTTAACAAATTGAATTGGTGATTAATAAAAATCTATGAAGATCGTTTAACCAGATAATAGATATACTCGTACCAGGAGGTGGCACAGCGGTGACTGCATTACAAACAGCACAACATACAGAGGTTGCTCCAACTGGATACAGCAACAGGTTTCGACATCCAGAACACACAAGCTGGCTCTGTGCTCCTGAAAATCATCACAAACTTAAATTAGTGACCGAACCAACTAGAACCTGATAATCAACAAATTAAATTGTAGATTGCATTGGATCAAGTAATTGATAAAGGCAGAAAATATGTAATAATGCTAAATCATAGAATCTGGGAATGGTGTACCCTTTCCCAATTCTCTGTCATTATGATTTTTGACAAGAAGCCAAATATTTTACACAAGTACTTGGAAGCTGAACTTGAAATGGTCTTAGGTTTTTTTCAAGTAACAACATGAAAAAAAAAGAAAAAAGTGTAGCAAGCAACAGTACTAGCTGGTACCCTTTGCTCATTGTAGATGATGTTCATTGCGCACTCTTTAGCAGTGGGTCCTTTGATGGTTATGCTCATAATCAATTGAATAATGCATAGTGTTATTTAAAGAAAAAGAAAGACTAGCATAAAAAAGTAGATGTAAGATGCCAAGGTCTATTGGCCATTTTTCCTTGAATTCACATAGTTCTGAGGCTAAAACAAGTACACGAGTAACTAGCATACCATTGGCCGGAGGAGGAGTAGTAGGAGGAGGAGGAGGAGGAGGAGCATATGCGGCTGGAGGTGTTGGATAAGGTGCAAGAGGAACTGGCATTGCAATGTCTCACAAAGCTAATCTTTCTTTCCAATTTCCTACTAGCTTACACAGTCTTAAGAACAGAAACCACAACCCTTTCTCCCATTCTTGCCATGCCTGGACACAAGTAAAACACATGAAAGAAGAATATCAGTGCTAATGTTATAGCACTACAGATTCAAAAGTAGTATTTAGCATTGGCAAAGGAAAAGAATGTGAGCAAAAAGTAATTAATTACATGATTAACAAAAATAACCAACACCGGATTGAGTAATTAATTTATGTCTGGAAACCATACAAGAAATTAAGTTTGTTGGATATTATTTAGAGAAACAAACAAGCTTCGAGAGCTTAAAAAACCGAAGATATCCAGTTTGAACATATGTCGAAGTGGGGCGAGCACACACCTTTAACAGCTTGCAGATGAAGTTGAGAGAGAGTGGGGGAGAGAGAAAAAGAAGCTGGTAAAGACAATAAAAGGTGATTTTATTTTTATCATTTCACTCGGAAAAGTTCCATTTGATTTCATTTTTCCCTGGAAAATTTTATTATATTTTTGAATTACAAATGAAACTTAATTATGTTTGTTGTTGGTAGCTCGGCAAATCCTAGTCACACACGTAATTAAATCATCATTTGATCTTTCTGTTTTTTCATGAAATAATTAATTAATCTCTTTGCTTTGAAAAACCTAATATTAAGTCCTTAACTTTTCACATTTTACTGTTACTTGGTCCTTTAATTGTTTTTTTTATCACAATTATATTATTTTTTATCATCTAAAGTATTCTTCGTTTATAATCAAAATTTTCAATCTCGCATACTACAAAAAAAAATTAAAATGCATTTAAAAAATAATTTACAAATTTCAAAAATTAAAAAATTAAAATAAAGGATTAAATTACAAAATCACAAAACAATAGGCACTAAATTATAATTTAATAAATTTCACATGATGCTATATAACTTTAATAAATTATGAGCTCATGCTAGCTCCACTAAAAGTGAGTAGCCTTCCGTTAAAATCAATTAACTAAATCAAATCCAAATCAAAATACCAATTTGGTTTGATTTTTAATTAAATTCGATTTAAAAAACAAAAGTCGAATTAATTTTGATTATTTAATTTTTTCTATTTTTTAAAGATATATTTAATTTTTTATTGTTATTTAAATTTTAATAATTCGATTTGCAACATATTAAAACAATCAATAATTTTTTTTTATCATTATATATTTTAAATATGAATTAGTGAATTTATATTTATATTGTAATATCTTATAATGTAATATGGTTTTAAGCTCTAATTTGATTTAAATAAATATTTATTATTTCTATATAAGCTACTTTAGAGCATTTGGGTCAGAAAAAATTCTACGTAGTCCATAATATAATTTTTTTTACTTATTTACATTATTTTAAAAAAATTGAAAATTTGAAAAAAAATTGATTTTTTTTAATGAATTCAATTAATTAACAAACACATCTAAAACAAAACTAAAAAACACTGTACGCAATATTGTTTACCACTATTCATTGACTTTAGATGGAGCAATGGTATTTTTGTGAATTTCAAAAACAAAATTGGTGACATTTTATACGCTGCTTTGCAATGGCATTTTCGTTAATTTTGACACTTTTTTGACATTTTATATGCTGCCTTCCAAAATACTATTCACGACTGTGTAGTACTATTCATTGTCCCACAAAAATCTCTTTTATATTCAATGGTTTGCAAATATTGCATTTTAATCCTTAATTTTTGGATTTTAAAGTAAAATTTAGAACATGATTATTTAAAAAAATAATAATAAATTGATATAATTTAAATAATTAATTCTTAATTTTTTTTAATTATAGTAGCATGATATATAATTTTTTTGAAATACACTTTTTTGATTAAAAATGTATTTAAAATAATTTGTTTCGATTTTTTTAAAAATAATTTTTTAATTAATTAATTAATAATTGATTGTCAATTGCATAAAAAAAAAAGTGATTGTCATGCGTGAGAGGCTTATGCAAAGGAATTCACCGCGGATGACTTAGAAATAAAAAAATATTTAAAAATAAAAAAGGAATTTGCTTTTATTTGGTTATTCTTTATATAATTAAAATTTATCAAAATTAATTTTTAATAATTTTTTATTTTAATCTATAAATTTTAAATTTATTTAATATATTACTTATAAGTGAATTTTTTTTAATATCTTTTGTTTTACATTATAGATTCTAAACCCACTCAATATATTTATAATGTATATAAAAAAATTGAATCATTAGTTTTTATAAAAATCAACCATGCAACATCAAAACACTAAACATTTATTTATTTATTGTTAGATATTTTAAATCAATTTATTTCAAATTAAATATATGAAATTATGTTTTTGCATAACTATCCAATGATTTAAATATAGTTCTTTTATTTTAATATCATTGATTTTTATGAATAAATATATAAAAATTAAATATACATACTTTTAAAAACTAATATTCTCATCAATATTGAATAAAAATAAAAATAAAAATTTTTTTATTTGTTTATTTTTATGCCAATTTTTATATTAATTATTACTTTATTTTTAACACAATCTTATGACATTAATGTTCAGGTTTTTTTTTTATATATCTTGTATCTAATTCTTTTTTTGTTTAAGAATCCATAAATAAAGAAGTTGTTTTTTCGACACAATCTCACGAAATACTAAAATTTTTTAATATATATTTTGTATTGAATTCTCATTTTGTTTAAGAAACTATAGATAGAGAAGAATTAATTATTATTTAAATAAAAAATTATAAAAAAATACAAAGAAGAAATGGTTAAATATAAAAAAAAATTGATTAAAATATTATAAAATTAGATTTTTTTTTGTTACATTTGATTAAATAAAATGATTTTTCAAATGCTTTTATGTATTTTATTCCACCTGCAATATAGTACAGGTAAAAAAAAAAAAAAACTACTCAATTACTAAAATGAAATGTTAAAAAGCAAATATTCATCCCTTCCACCGTCATCTAGTTTTTCATTTTACTGCTATGGATGGATGTGGTGTTTAAATTCTGTTGGTGGCATATCAAAATCAGAGACTGTCAGAAATATTGGACCCCACCCCATTCCTCAACATTTGGTGTCAGACATTGCGTGCACGTGACGTAAGGTTGCGTTTGGATTGGCCACAAGACTCCTTTGCAACGGGAGCGTCCGCCATGAAGGTCTGAGATTGAGCCACGTCACAAATAGGGGCGGGTGGTCCTGTACGGTTTCTAAGAGTTTGGAAAATATGATTAGGCACCGAGTTAAACTGCCTCTGATCTTATAATCATCAGTTGCATGCAATGACCGTTGGAAAAACAGACAAGCTTTGGGTCCCTTTCTTCATTTTTATGTTCAAAACCAAAAATAAAATAAAATAAAAGGACCAATGGGTCCATGAGCAGGCCCGGATTATTAGCATTAGAAGTCATACTAAACAAACATCTAGGTCCATTGACATGTGATGACAGCAGTTGTCTGAAGCCTGGAGGTGTTGTGAAAGCGAAAGTTTTTGTTTTTTTCGTTTTTTTTTTTGTTTTCTTTTCCTCCTCCTCCCTTTTACTTTTACTGATTACTAAGTTTTTTTTTTATTACCTCTATGGATTAGATAAAATATATAAAATTATTTTTAAAAAATTATTTCAGTTTAATAGTTTATATTATAATATAAATCTATAAAAATATATGAAATCAAAGATAAAAAAAAATTAATTTTTAATCAAAATTTTGTATTTAACTATTTCTTATATGTGTTTTTCATAATATTTTTATTAGAAAAAAGATTTATTCTTATTAATCCATGGATTCTTAACTAAATTTTTTTTAAAAAATTTAATATTTCATAAGATTGTGTTGAAAAACTAAATAACAATTAATAAAAACTTATGTAGAATTGAACAAATAAAAAATATTTTTTTGATTTTTATTTAATGTTGATGAGAATATTAGTTTTTGAAAGAATATAAATTTAATTTTCATATATTTATTCAGAAAAGAATGAATAATATTAAAATAAAAAAACTATATTAATTTGAATCATTGAGTTATTATGCCAAAACATAATTTTAATAATTTAATTTAAAATAAAATAATTTTAAAATATTCAAAAATAAATAAATAAATAGTAAATGCTTAGTGTAGTAGTAGTTGCATAGTTAATTTCTAAAAAAAATAACGATTCGATATTTTTTTATATATAATAACTACTAAGTGAGTTTAGAGTATGCCGCATAAAAAAAACGCTGTAAAAAAAAATTGACTTGTAAGAAATATATTGACTACATTTGAAGTTAATAGACTAAATTAAAAATTATTAAAAAATTGATTTCAATAAATTTTGATTATATAAAGAAGAAACAAATAAGACATGTGAAATTTTTTTTTCCTCCTTAAATATATATATTTTTTATTTCTATGCTATACATGGCTAATCCTTGAATACAAGCCTCACACGTAGAGTAACCATCTCATTTTTATTTTTCACATTTGACTTTTAATTTTTAATTAACTAATTTGAGATTTTTTTTCTAAAAAAACTAAGAAAAAATTATTTGAAACACACTTTTAATCTAAAAAATGTATTTCATACAAATTCCATATATTAATCATGCCACTATACTTTAAAAATTATATAAATCTATTTTTCAAAAGAAAAAATAATCATGTTCTAAAAATGTATTCCAAAATCCATGCATATAACAAAATAAATCAAAATTGTTAGTAAATATAATTTTAAATTAATTGGATGAGAATTTTTTTTAAAATGAAAAATTAAAGTAGTAAAATTTAAATAATAAAAATAATATAATCTAAAATATATGTTCAATCTAAATCATGAAAATATATAATATACATCTCTTTTCATGTGAGGTTGTGTGGAAAAAAAATAATGATCTATTTTTCATATTTTACAACAAAAAAAATTCAATGGAAAAAAAAAAGAAAAAAAAAGCCAAGCAAGGCCCATGCGAGCAAG